GGGGGGGGGGGGAGAAATGGAATATATGACCACTGCAGCAGCTATAACTGGCCGTAGGTCCTAGTCGAAGTAAAACAGTCTTTGGAGACATGTCAACAGTAAACATTATACCGTTCACATGAGGAAACGTGCTTCTACTGTCAATTATAGCTATGGTAAAATCTTGAATCTTTCTACATATTTTGGTTCTATTTCCATCCTAGAGGAGAGGGGAAAGAGATCTAAGTGAACCAGAAACCAAGGAAACTGCATGATTCAGAACAATTTAGGAATATGTAATGTTACGGAAGTAGAATCTAAGAGAGCAAGTTAATGTAGAATGGGCTGCCCAATGTGATTTTGGTGGGGAAAACATGCTGTATTGTTCCAGAAAGGTTTTATCTCTGCACTATACAAAAATATATTTGAAGAAAGGAAGTACTGTAGACATTCTCTTTTCCACTATTCACTCTCATCTGAATATCTTATATACTGTAATACAGCAAGGGAAGCTTACTAGGGTGGGGACCTTTTTTCTAACCATCCTACTCAAAAGATCTGTAACCCCTAAAGTCCTGAAGCAGCACATGATGCTTCTACTCTGTTGGTTGAACCAGAATGCTTCTTTTGTGAGATGAGAGTATACTATAACATCATGACATGTACTGATATAACCTGCAAGCTCATGATGTGGGCGTTGTTTTCCAATATATATAAAATTACTAAGAATTCATAAGTCAGGTAATTTTTTTGGAATCTGTCAACAGGATAAAGGCAACTAAATGTCATTTCTAATATTAACTGTTCTATATTTTTTAATTCAAAGAAAAATAGGGTGTGTGCTGAGCACGTTAACTATGGAAATAATTCTACTGTTTTTACCAGACTACCTTCATAAGTTTGTTTTGTGCATGTTTGATTTCTTTCTGCTGCCTAGTCATCACTAAGCATTTATCACTTTTAAAAATTAACACACACACACACACAAAATATGTTACTATGTTCCTATTGTGGAGAGCTTGCATCTCAGTTGGACTAGCCAATAACAGTAAACATTTAACAGTATTTTACAAAATAAAGTTTGGAATGGTACTCCAATGACACTTTTTGGTTACTTAACAACATTAAAACTGTTTCATATTGCTTTTTGAAAATTTATTAAGAGTGGCAGAACTTGCTTTGTAAGCTAAAAAAGTTACGCAACCTAAAATAATGTTGTAAATTATTTCCTTGTTCTAACGTTCTCTTTTCCAGGTAACGTCTGATTTACTTTATTTTTACAGACATTTAGCAAATGTTATGAGATATGATGATACATAAATTGGCTTTAATACCAATATCAAAAGCAATTAATTATACAGTAAATCCACACAACTAGAGATATGAAAAAAAATTATAAACTAAATCTTTGTTACCCTTTCATTTCCTCTAGCATGAACATGGTGCTTCAATTTCTATCCTTGAATTAAATTACAGTGACTTCAAAACCATGTCTGGGGATTAAAGTTTACATATGTACTAGAGGTTAGGGGAGGTCTAGGACTCTAACATATTCCTGGTTAATGTTGCATGGAGTAAATTGTTAGCAACAATGTGCTTTGAAGGAATTATGTATGGCACTAGTAACGATCTTTGCTTTTTATTCTGATGTCTTGGCAAAGGTTATTTAAAACTAGAACATGTATACATTCCATCAATAAATATTATGAGCTGCTCTGGCAGCCTCCTCCACAACAGCACAATAGCTAACTCAAAACTTACACAATTTATTAACAATGGAACTGAAAACAGGCTTGGCCAACAAGGCCTCACCAGACCTTGAGTCAAGCGGATGCCAATATCCTGCCTTTAACTACTACTCAACTTTACCATTCTCAGGGTTGACCTTTTGCTGGAGAGAAGAAGCCTCTTTGCTCCACTGGTTCAAGCATCCCCTGGATGTGGGCAAGGCAGAGCGTGTCACAGCAGGGGTGCTGGATGGAGATGGTCCTTTGCCCTTGAAGATGGGTTGCTCTGGCACTGGTGCCAGCATAGCAAGAAGGCTCTTGGTAGGTATTGTCCTACTCCACAAGACAAGTAGGTCGACCCGTGCTTCATTCCAAGAGTCTCACCTCTGGAGCACTTTCTGGCCTTCTTTGGAGGGACAGGCTTCCTGGTCAGTACCTCCTCTGCCCGGCACAGCTCCCAAATTGACATCTATCTAAAGGTCCTCTTCCTCTGTCGTCAACCCCTCCTTATGTAGCACCCCCGCCATTGCCACACCCATCTCCTCCAAGGTGCTCCCTTGCAGCTGTGTTGCTACTCTCCAGTCAATTGGAGATTTGCTGGTTCAGAGCATACCTACCAAGCTGTCCGGAGGTGGGGAACCCATGCAGAGTGGGACCAGCCCAACAGGCTAGGCTCTCGCTGGTCCCACAATTATCTAAGCCCAAGAGATCTCTCCATCTATTCTGTAGTTGCTGTTCCCTGATTCACTTCACAGAAACTTCAGCAGAAAACATATTTTATATTGTGAATAAACACTCAGTTTATGCTACTGTTTTTAGAAAATACTGTTATTTTGTAATAAACTCGTGAATAGACTATTGCAATGTTCTCTATGTGGAGCTGCCCTTGAAAGTAATTAAGAACCTGCAGTAAAACGCAGCAGCCAGGCTGGTGTCAAGAAGATCGAAATATGACCATATTTCTCCTGTCTTGGTTCATTTGCACTTGCTGCAAGTATGCTTCTAGGCCAGTTCAAGATGCTGATGTTGACATTCAAAGCCCTAAATAGTTTAGGGCTTTGCTACTTATCTGGCTGCCTCTCCCTGAGAAGGACCTCCCATCCTTCCTGAACTTCCCAATCCATGATGTTACAGGTGGCCACCCCAAGGGAGGCCCAGGAACTGGGCCATCTCAGAGGTAGCCACCTCATTGTGTAATTCTCTCCTGGTAGAGGTGCGAAAAGCCCCTTTTCTCCTCAGCTTTAAAAAACAAGTGAAGATGTGGCTGTTCATTCAGGCCTTCCACAGCCTTACTCCTGGTTAATTTTTTTCCCTTCAATTACTGTCATGTTGTTATTTTTGGGTTAATTATTTGTTTTGCCATCATCTTCTGTCTCGGTTATTTTAAAAAATATATATAGTTGATACTGGATCAATTTTTCTTTTGTTTGATCTTTTAATTGATGTCTATTATTGAATTTTATTTTATGTCTATGCTATTTTATCATCAGCCACCTGAGTAGTGGCTTGGTCACTTGATGGGCAGGGTAAACATTTTAAAAATAAATATTCACACAGAAAGAAAGTGAGTAAACCACATTCATCCTTGTTCAGATTTCAACTAAACTGGACGTTACTTAGTATTTTAAAAGCTCACAGTTTCGATATTCTCAATTTCTATAGGAGACATATTTTTGCAAGCACACTTATTTATGTGTCTCATTATA